TATAATCTTTGGTCCAGCATGTGTTGAAATTGTATATATATATATATATATATATATATATATATACATACATATATATGAATAAATACTATTAATTTAGGTGCTGAGCATGAAAATTAGCTAAATAGGACATACTGTAAGTTGATTTGAACCAATAGATGATGCAGTCCTCTATATAATCTTTGGTCCAGCATGTGTTGAAATTGTATCAACAAACTCTACTGCATGTTGGCTTGGAGAGAATTCATTGTTTATCTACAAGTTTATTTTTGTTTAGAATAAAAATCTGAGGTTCTGACTTTTGATTCCGTGTTAAAAACCTCCTTATTTAGGCAGGTTCTGATTGAAGCTAAAATTGTTGTGTTTGGCTGCGGTGAATCAGCTATCAATTAAAGTTAATTGACTTCCTATATAAAATCTGAGTACAACCTAGGGTGATTGAAAGATCACAGTGCAGATTATACCACATTTTAAGAAGCTTAGTTGCACTCCTTCAATTGCCCAAACATTAGAATATACTATTTATTGTATATTTCTTTACATTTAACAATTTAACTGTGTTTGTGTTTAAAACTGAAGGGAATCTGGTCTTTTTTATGTCTTTGCATAAAAAAGATCATAAACATAAAATTCATAGACAATCATTGATGAAAGTTTTAAGAATATTAACTTTAAGAAGAATTAGATGCTTTTGATTAATCTATATGTTTATATGGCTGAAATGTGCAAATGAGGTATAATAATCCTGCTTCCATAAATGTAATTGTGTAGATTCTTAACAAGCTTCTTGGGAACTGACAAATTAAGGATGGCGTCTTTAAAAAGCTTCATTCTCGATCAAGTACTTTTTTTAAAAAGTGTAGGATATTTGGCTCTGAGGGTCAGGGAACTGCTGCTGTGTGGGTCACAGTGGGAACAGCTCATATATGATTGTTTTTTCATTTAAAAGTGTCTGTTTTGACTTTTGATTTCTGTTATGGTTGAAGATCAGAGAATCAGCTCTGTCTCAGAGAGGTTGTTGCACACTTCAATGACGTTAGCATTGAATTGTATTTATCCTCAGTCTACTCTAACTCTGCTCATGCTGGAGAGAGGAAATACTTGCCTCATACTTAAAGTATAATGTCTTTTTAAAAACTAATGGACCTGTATTTGCCTGTAATTTAGTGTCTGTCTTTTGTCTTAGTTAATGTGCTAGCATGTAGCTTGCATGAGAAATGGTTGGAAAGTGTAGATACTGCTGGAGAAGAGAAGTGCCGACAGGCCACTCTCCTGAGACCTAGCTGCTGCCCTCTGTTCTGCAAACATAACCACGTCCCAGATAAATCAGCCAGGAACCGCCTCAGCTCTGCTGACAAAATATTATTTTTTTCTCTTCCCTCCAACACTCCAATAGGGAAATCTGCATTTGTTGCACTGAGGTGTGCTCTCAGTGCATCTGTTTTTTAGCCTTGGTGCGATAGTAAGTGACTGTCAGCAGGTGCAATCAAAAGCTTCACTTCTCTTCTCCTTCTTCGATCAGTTTTAGCATAACCCCCCCAGTCTGTAGGCACAAGAAAACTAGCAGCCTATAATGTTCTCTCCTCTTTTTGTAGCAGAAACCATTTATTTTATGTCAGAATCTTTTTAAAAGGCTGTGCATAATCATCAGTGTTTTTACTTTCAGTTTGGTTTATTATCTTATTTTATTTAGATTGCCCAAAACTTGAATGTTAGAATTGTAATTTTTGCTTTTATTTTCCTGTTTCAGCAATCACTTTTCCAAGTTTTCCTGTAAATAGTGTTGCCTTTACTGGAAACTCTTACATGCAGATCCATACAAACACCACACACACACACACACACACTGTGGATGCATCAACACACATATACATAAATATGCACGGCAGGTCGTCTGCTCCTGTGGTGTATTTGTACTAAAATGTGTGTGTGTGTTTGTGTATGAGTGTGTATAAAACGACCCAAACAGACTTCAGAGACACCCTTATTGTGTTGCTTCACAAAAAGAAATGGTTTTATTTCTATGAACAAAGAAATTCTTTTTTTTTTCTTTTTTTGGATGATAAGTCTTCCTTTCGGGTAAATATTCATGTCACATGGAAATAGTGCTGTTGTGTGTGTTAATTTGTAAAAAAAAAAAAAAAAAAAAGGCAGACAATGTCATCAGTGCAAAACCCCAAATGATGATGTAATGGGGTTTACAGCTGTTGGCTATAATGTTTTCACAAAAAAAAAAAATATGTTAGGCTTTTTTTCCTCTTCCAGTTTTTTTTTTTTTTTTGTTAGAATATAAGTTGAGTTGTTGACTTCAATAAACAAAAATTTGGGTTAATTTCATCTGCTTGTTACTGGTTCTTTTTGATCTGAGAAAATCTGCTTTAAAATCCATTTGTTTATTTGGAAGATCTAAGTTTAGTTTTAGGGAAATACTGGTGAAGATTCTCAGTCATCCAGGTCATAGTCATTCAGAAAAAAGTTAAAAACAAAACACTGGACTTTTATTTTTTTTATCAAGTTTGAAGATCTTTAGCTTCCCATCCTGAAAGCTTTCTCTACTCAAAATGTCTGGAGTGATGTGGAGCTCCAGGCCTTATAGAATAACCCAACAAAAGCCTTTTCATGGCTTAGAAAACATGCAAATTGAACCAAAACAGGTCCACCGCTTAGTAATTGGGTGACATTTATTTTTAGGGAAGAAGGCAGCATCAGAATAGATAGGAAAGAGGCATATAACACCAAAAACCAGAGAAAGAAAAAAATTAACATAAATATGATTTTTTTTTAAATGCTTTTGCAGCAAATTCATGAATCGGTAAAATATGGCAAAAATTAAACTACTCTTTTATGCTGTTATTTAGCACTTTTAGATTTATTTTCATTGTGATTAATGTCAGTTTTATTTGCATAACATTTAAATTTAAAAACACTACTGGATAAGGAAGGAAAAGTTCATGTTGTAGTTTCACAGTAGGGAAACCTTTCCTCTGCTTTCAACCCGTGCTTTAGGTGTTAGTCTGCTCCACACTGAGTAGGAAATGAAGTATTAAAACATAAATTAAATTCATATTTGGACTTTTTGTTAGGATGCTTCCAGCACTACAGTAAAAACACAACATCCCATCGAAGAAGTTTAGAAGATATATGTCTGGATGATATGGTCCAAACAATATTGTTAATTTCAGTCGATGCAATATATTTCAATACATATATATATATACAAAAAAAAGGTTAAGAATACCCAAAACAGATGCCAATACACGTTCATTGAAGTTAACTTTCCATGTTTATAAAACTCTGATATAATAACTCTTGGATATATTCCGTTTGAAAAAGAAAACACATAGAATAAAACCCTGTAGCGGCAGTGAAAAATGTTATCATTAACTGTAAGTTGAAATATTGCAAATGTCATATTACCGTTATTAGATTGAATTATATTGCCATTTATAGTGATAGGGAAATATTGCCCTGCTCCTTTACGATTTGTCCCGTGCAGCAATACAACATGTCCACCAGAGGGCAGTACAATACAGCGAATTAAGTCTTGGTACTGCAAATTGTGAGCAAACTGGAAAACACTTTTATGACTTTCTGTCCAATTCACTGTTAAGAGAGGGTTTTCTTGAAGGTATTTCCACTGATCTTTCTAAAACATATAGAAATTGTGAGAGTTGTGTCTCTCTGAAACGATAAAGCTATTATTTTGTTACAAAATGCCCACAGAGAATGACACGAAATTGCTTAAACTTGTGACCAAAGAGTAGAACTGAGATTACAAATATTTAACCAGAATACTCATATAGTTATAAAATATAAATATCCTCAACCTTCTGGTTATTTTAAAATGTAATCATTGACATCACTCTAAAGGAGTAAGAACATAAAAAAAAACACAAATAAGCAGACAACAATTTTTAGACAAACACTCTCTTGGTGTTTTCTAACAATAAGGTTTAAAGTGAATTTTGTTTTTATAACATAATGAAGGTGAAGTTGGGATGTTGGGAATGTGCAGCAGCGCCTCCTTCCCCTCCATAGAGCATTAACTGAGATTTAGAGAGGGGGGGCGTGGAGGTGCTGGTAGTACAGACAGAGGGGATGTGTGCCACTGATTGTCTGTGAGAGGGGAGGGGGGGAGAGACACACAGAGACAGAGAGGGTTAGAAGAGGGAGAAAGGAATTCAGAACTGTTTAAATGGGAAGGATAGGGGCTGCAGACTGAACAAGCAAACAAAACAACTGGAAAAGTGGAAGCAGATACATTTTACGCACGAGAAAAGTGAGAAGTAGTTTGGGAAAAAGGGGGGAAAGGGCATTAGATTTTTTTCTTTCAAACGTCTCTTTTTTTTCTTCTGATGACTCAGAAAGGATTCCTGTTCAAATCAGCCGCTCTGCAGGAATTGATGGTGTCTTTTAGGGGAAACGGAGCCGAGGGGAGGACTCTGAATGCGCTCGGATGAACCATGCTTGGCTTTTGGATCCTAACTTTGGCACTCGCTTTCAACAAAGGTAAGTAAGAGATTGTGAAATGAAGAGAGAACAAAGATGGGCAGTAGGATAAAGGTCGATATTATTATTGTTATTATTATTATTTGCATCTGTGCGCTCCAAGGGTTTAAAGGCACTACTTCCAATACGAGTTTTTATGTCAGGATTTGAATCCACGCGCATGGCTGCGTATGGAAATATTGCTTTAAATGTTTGCTGCTTTTTACATCATAATTAAATAACCACAGTTCAGGCTGAAAGGGAAGGAAAACAAATATTTCGTTGTTTTTTTTTTTTTTCTGAGTAACTGCTCCGACTCATACGCAAGTGCCACTTTCATCCGTCACGCGTTTTCCTGGGCAGAGATCTGGACCATCTGCACACGACATTGCCTTGACGTGACCTTTAAAACGCATGAATGGATAGATTTGGTTTGAGCAAATATGGTGCGGGTCAAGGCAACGCGAGCACACTTACGCACGCGTGTGCACGCAAGATTTGCGCATAAGCTGTCAGTGCAGGGATGATTGATGAGGCGAGGATCTAATGCACAGTCTGGTCGCTGGGCTTTAACATCGGGCTCATTGGATCATTTTTCAATACGGGCACGCACGCGCCAGGCACGTGTATGCCTTCAGTCTCACTGTTACGCATATGTGTGTGCGCGTGTGTGGTGAGAGTGAAAGGAGCAAGGCAAGTCTCCCTAGAGAGAGTAAGCTGGTGTGTGTGTGTGTGAGTAAGTGTGTGTGCATCTTCTTTGCATTCAGGTAGAGTCTCATGCGCACATGAACGGCCTTCCATTGAGGTGCCAAGAAAAATTCATATTTTACTTTAAAGGCTGAGACATATTCACTGGACTGGAGAAGAGCCCTATTACTAATATTAATGCCCCTATTTATCGATCGCCTTGATAGATTGCTTCAGACCCTCTCTCCCTACACACACACACACAAACACACACACACACACACCCAATCAGCCAAGACAGGCTGAGTGTGTGTTTGAGTTTGGGAGCAGTCATGCCTCTGAAGACAGGAGTGATTTATTGAGGTGGTCTAATGTGAGCAGTTCAGCCTTATAAAGGCTATGGTGTGTGTGTGGGTGTGTGTGTGTGTGCCAGCATCACCCAGGTCCCTGCTGCTTCAGGCCGCTGGTGTGATGAACCACAGACGATGATCTGCCTGGACAGTCAGTCAGGGGAGCTCCCAGGCTGAAGCACACCTGACCACCTGAGTGGAACATGATGGATGAGGACGATCAGTTTGACTTTACTGTTTAATTTTATAGCGGATGGGAAACTTAGCAGGAAATAAATCTCAGTGCAAACATTTGATTACCGTCTATCGTGACTTGCAAAAGCACCTTGTTCCCTTTAACCTTTCCCCAGTTTTCGTTTTGGTAACCCAAACCTTTATTGCCTTTTATAGAAGCGAAAGGCTGCCGTTCTTTTTAGACTTTTTTTTAGTGTGGCATGTATTTTTATTTGCTAAGTCTAGGTAGTGCCAATTTTCCCTGCTGCAGTTTCATTGAAAGTAGGCCTCTATCAGATTTGCACATTGGTGTACTCTCCCCTCAACGTTAGCTTTAAGGTAGACTGTAAATTTGGTTTTAAAGTACTGTATGACCACTGATTTATACCTAAACATATTGATTTAGACAATCCTATCAAACCTCTGGGTGTATATTTACTGGTGATGAAGGTTCACCCCAGTCTAGAGTCTTTTGCAGCCTCTGATAGGTTATTTTCAGCATCACCTTTGTTTAGCTCCATTTGACTTACCATAAACTGACCACCTTACTCCCCAAGGTATGATGCTGCTATGCCACCCTTTTTTGTTGACAAAAACGTGGCATAGTCTTGGTCTCCTCTGGCCTGAGCATCATGTTAGCTGAGTCCGTAAACTTGCTTCTTGCAAACCACAGTCAATGCTAATGTCTTTCTGCATAAAAATGGCTTCCACAGAATTGCATTTGTTCAGCTCACAATTTTTCCACCTGAGTGGTGGACCTCTGTAGCTCCTCCAGAGCTGCCGTGAGGATTTCAATGGCTTCTCTTATTAGATCAGTGTTCTCCTATCAGTTTAGATGCATGGCCATATCTTCATAGGTTATTTTTAAGGCTTTCCATCTTCAGAGGATATATTGAACAGAAATCTGTATAATATTTTAGCTGGGAATACTTTTGTATAACCCTGCATTGCACGAACTTCCCAGCGTCTTTCTCTATAACATTTCTGTTGTTTTCTTCAGTCTTTGTCTCAGTGTGGTCATTGGTGTTCTGTAGCAAACCTCTAAGGTAGTCCATTCAACATTGTCTACTGAAGAGTTTATCAAAGAACCAGTAAAATAACTTTGGTTGGGGTGTTTTGGTTTTGGATGGCGTAAATAAAAACAGACAGGGATAAAGTAAATCAGAGGTATTTGAAGTAAGGTTGTACATAAAGGAACAAGAAAACAGACCTGAAAGAGATAAAGCAACAATAGAGGGAAATATCCTCACATCAGAGCAATGTCAGACACAAAGAAATAAAAAAAGCAGAACAAAATTAAAAGATCCAAAGACACACAAATTGGAAAGGACTGAGCAGAGTAGGACAAACCCTAACTAGCAGAACAAAGAAAGGAGAGAGCAGTCTGAAGAGAATAGAGCAGAGCATCGGTGTCTCCTGCTGAGTCGGTGTAAGCCTGTAAATGTGATCAGCGTGAATCCATCCCCTACATCCAGCAGCTGCAGCCTAATGTGTGTTTAGCCTGTTTGGATTCCTCCAGGTGTCTACTGCCTGCCTCTCTGCCACTGACAGCTCTCTGCAAGTCTTCTGATTTACTGCTCACTCTGGTGGCTTTCTCACACAAACGAACCACATCTCCGCGTGGTTGACCAGGCATAATCTGTGGGCTCCTGTAATTACCGCTTGGCCCTGTATGTTTCTCTGATATGTCGCCAGTTGCCGCTGCGCTGCCAGCATCGGTCTGGCCACAGGCGAAGAGTCTCCTTTTCAATTCTCAAACAGCAGTTTTGCTTGAGCTGAACATTTCTGTTGCCTGATCGTGCAACCGAGGCAACCGAAGCAATTCCTGCACTGCAAGCACCTGTCCTCTCTACCCCCCCTCTCCTGTTCACATACATCCACTTTTTTTTTGCTCCCTCTTTCTTTTATTCCATCACAACAGCGTGGCAGGACTCGGATAGAAAGAGACGGGCCATAAGACGGAGAGATGGAGGCGAGGGGAGATGAAGAAAAGAAGAGACAGCGGGGCTCAGTCCTAATCTGTTGACAAGGGGGGATATTTGAGGATAAACAGAGGCCGAGCAGGAGAGCTCAGGAAATAGTGATTGAGGAGAAGATGGAGCTTTTTGCCTCAGACAGCAACCCGGCCGGACCATCAATGTTTGATGGTTTAGATTAGCAAAAGATTTACACCTAAGTGGGGCTCCAGGGCTGTCTAGGAGCCTTGGGTTCTCATGATATAAAAGTGTTGAAGTGTTAAAATTAACCAGACTTATTTGAAATGATCTGCCTTTCATCATAATACTTGGTACCTGGAATCCAAAATATCTAGTTTACAGGATTTCTCGACTAGTAATCATTCATGATGATGAAGAACATTTCCAGACCATGAATCCGTTAACTCTTTTCGGTGTGACAAAAGCTCTCTGAGGCTAGCTCTCAAGCATTTGTGTAAATCCTTGTCTGAGTTATAAAATAACAGAAATACTCCTGGAGGGGAAAGGATTTGGATCATTTCATACCTGTTTTTCACCAGTTATGTAATGCACAGATTAGAAGACAAGGTTGTATTATAGGAATGAAGTTTTCCAATGTCAAAAGAATGTTTTCATCTAATTTTACATAAATAATTTTACAAAACAAGATTTATTTTAGAGTATTTATAGAGAAGGTAAGCTTGGCTTTTCCTCTCTTCATGTTCAACCGACCCACAGGTCAGGCTTGAGGTCAAAATAAGATTGATTATATAGATATATAAATAACTTTGTTAATCCCCAAAAGAATGGGATGCTGTTGTCCCTTCGCTACGCCATCTTTTCAACATGTTTTTTATGCAGCTCTCTTACATTAATATGAATAAAATTGCTTAGAAAAGTCTCTCAGTTGTGAAGCATTTTATCAACAAATGTTGAAACACACAAACCACATAACTGCAACGGGTGGATAGAGCTGCTGTGAAGCACTCTGATAATAAACACCATGATTCACGGCAAGAGTTCAGCAGAAGATGACTGATCTGAATGAATGATCACTTTTCCCACTCGACTCATGAGGAAAACCTCCTCGCTGTCTGGCCACTGTCAGTCAGAAATCCTTAAGTATGTTTTCCAATCAGCAGCGAGTAGCCAGCTTCATGACTCCTTCCTGCTCCAAAGACCATCTAAGAGGTTTAGCCTCACTGGAAGTGACGTATGTTGTCGTGTTATCCAATCAGGGCTCTGCTTTTTTTCTATGCTTACCTCAATAAACCTCAACAGTGATTTCTTATAGAGGCGGACTGGCAGGGGGAAGAGAGGGCTCTCCAGCTAATTAATGTTCAAAATACTCATAAAATCAGGTGCATTTTTGTGCACATTTAATGCAGGTTAATGAATACATTTATGAAGTTTGACAATGTGTGTTTTAACTAGGGTTGTCACGATACTAAACTTTTCAACTCGATACCGATACTAAGGAAAATACTCGATACTCGATACCATTTTCGATACCACAAGGATAAACACAAAGACTCCAAAATTCTACAGAAATATTTTCATTAATAAATAAAATACAATAAATAAATACAATAAACAGTAAGAACAATATTTTGAGGTTGTTTGCTGTGCACAATATTAAGCAAGCTTGATAAAAAAACTAAAATTAAAATTAAGTGTTCCTTCCTTTGCTATGCTTTGCACACATAACAATGACACTAGCCAAACTGGTTAAGAAATAAAGCACTGTAGCACTGTATCGATGCTTTTAAAAACGAGTATTGTATCCGGATACAACATTTTGGTATCAATACTTTTT